CATACATCCAAGAAATGACTATCGTTGACTTCCCGCAAAGTCGTGTTGAGTTTATTATTTCTGGAGGGATGTTGGGCTGGGACAAACCCCGACCAGGATCTCAACATGCAGCCTTTTGATTGTGAACAGAGTGATCTGCCACAGTCCGCCGGGTCAGCTTTCTTGTGGTTATATGTTGTGTTTAGCTTGTGTAAATGTGCGTTTAGTTAATTTGTGTGAATGTATGTTTAGTTAGTTTGTGTGAACGCATGTTCAAATCTCTCCATCTCGCAGCTATGGAGCAATGAGACCAGCTAATACACAGCAGCGTAACAGACAACGACTCATGGAAGCCTTCATCCAGCACAAGAAAGATCATTCCTGATGATAATAGTCACCTAAACATATCCCATATCTCACATTTATCACGAGTAGCACTGTCATAACTGGGCAGTCAATAGGTAACGAAGCGTGAATGCTATTTTCAACTAAATTTCAGTGTCTTTTCCACCATGTTAATGCCGTAAAAACGAAGATCCCTTTTGCATGTGGAGGAAGCTGAAGCATCGATAGAAAACACACACACACTCGCACACATATGTGAAGATAGTAGTCAAATATCCACACAGACAGTTCAGTACCCCACTTGCTGAACTGCCTCACATTGTGAGCTTGATGATTATTGCATGACTCACCGACTCCTGCCCCAAGAGCGCTCAGCTAGAATCATGCGCCACCACGCCCGACAATAGTAAAACAATTTTGAAATTGGCAACGTTCCTTCAGCGGCAATGAACCACTGGCTGATATATTATTATTTTTTTAAGTCTAGGCACGCACCCGCCCTCGCACGCGCGTGCCTCGCCTCGTCAAACGGGCGTCTTGGGGGCGGCGGCGGGGGGGGGGGGGGCGCATGCAGAGGTGGCTCGCGATGGCTCCCAAGTCGACTCGCGCTGGCGTGCAGTCACGCTTCGCTCGGGACCACCTAGCGCTGGCCGCCGTAATGCCACCACCAAGCCCCCTCTGCCTCCTCCTGAAGCCGAGCCAACCACCGCCCACGCAGCGGCGGCGGCGGCTCTCACCTCGCATGTCGCTCAGTCACGTACGGCTTTCATTTGCAGAAATAAAAAAAATAAAAAAAGATTTTGTTTCGCACATTAATGGTGACCGGGCTGAGCCCATGAAGGTATTGACCCTTGAAGAACTAGTTTTAATCGCAGGTGACTGCCTGAATTTAAACCCAGGATCTTAGTGATGCCAGCTCAATGTTATGGAATAAGAGACCTTAATCCAGCTGGGTGGCACTGTCGTTCGAGATGTCGACTCAGAGTTAGGAGAAATGGGTTTCAATCTCGCTCATGCGTCAGTTGGTCCATCATTCCTCCAGGGTTGATAAAATGAGCACCACTTTGTGCGAAGTCAACAGTGGTTGTGGAGAGATTGGCTCCTGCAACAAGAATGTGGAATTTCCACCGATGGCTGCAAGGATACGCTCTCACCTTCATTAAACTATTAACATCGTTAATTATTTCACCTGTCGCCAACATCATGGACGCTTGTGTGGCCCCCAACCTGAAATCCTGAGCGCCCCATCATCCCATCACCAGAAGTGCCCTCATTGCACCATCAACGAATTCTGCCGCGCTCAAAATATCAGCGGGACGCTTCGCACTCCTTTGTCCAACGACACAGCTATGCAGACAGAGTGCCCAGCATCGGTGATTTAATTACATTTGGCAGATCAGATGCTTAAAGTAAAAAAAATAAACTGGGCAATTGTGTTCTTCAAACGGACGTCATTCCCACCACAGAGCACCCACAGCACCATGATATATGCCATACGTTTTCATTTCGAAACGTTTTTTAAATGATGTCACGCCTGCTGTTATTACTCTTTAGTATTTGGTGCTCTTGACGTTCTGCAGAGAAGAGATTCAGAACGGATGTCATCACCTCTTTCCAGAGATTACACTGAGTGTGTTTTTTTTTACTGCAAGTAAAAAATTTCGACGAGTTTCATTGTCTTTATGTTACCGGTGTTATATGAGTTATTCCATCAATGTTGATCACTGTCTACCTATCCATCAACCTGTGTGCCTACCGAACTACCTATGTGCCAGCAGATCATGGTAATTATGGTTTGAATGACCAAAATACGAGTTGTACCCATACTTCAATGTGCCAGTAACACTTTTAAATGTCACTTTCAATGCAAAAGAGTTTATTCATCGTTTGTATTTACTCTACGTATGCAAATAAAAAAAAACTATTCAGTTTGCCGAAACTGGCTTACTTTTCTTCATCTCAAAAAATGGGACCGGAGAAATGAATGCACGAGCGTGAATAATGTCAATTGCATCAGAATTACTGAAGACATAGTCATTGTAAACAACCAGAGAAGATGTGCAGCAAGACTTGGACATTTTGGGCTGCCTAGAAAACACAGTACGAGGATAGGCAGAACAAAGGCAGTGTGAATGGGAACTAAGGTTCAGTCAGGAATACCGAGATGAGCAACACGAGGTAAGGAAGGAGGAGACTCCAACGTATGCAAGTGTAAAAAAAAAACATGAATTAAATGGAAATAAATCAGTGGGGTGATGCGCGACACGAAGATACCAACTCGGTTGAAAAGGGAAAGCTTTGGAGACAACAATAGGATCAGAAGTGACAAACGGGTCTGAATGTTGGACTCCACGAAGCAGAGAAGAGCAGATGGTGTGCCCCATAGAGATGAGGATGGTAAGATATGGATGAGGTCAGAGATGAAGAGATGAGGAAGAAGGGAAGAGTGACAAGTGGTATACAGCGGCACCTCGGTATACGTCGTTAATTCGTTCCAGAAGGTCGGACTTATACCAAAAATGACGAATATACAAAACGAATTTTCCCATAAGAAATAAAGGGAAAGGAAATAATCCGTTCCAGAGTAAAATAAATTATATTTTATATGGCATATTAAACATTAATGTGGTTGTATAAAATAATTTAGACGCTACATAATTACTAAAATGCATACATACATAAAAAAATTCATGAATTCAAATAAAAATAAAATGTAACGTCACTTTACCTTGCTGAGAGGAGTTAAAATTACAAAAAGCACGTGAAAATTCGCAGAGAGTTATAGCAAGGGTTGTGCATTGAACGAGATCTACAGGCAGACTGAGGAGCGGCGCTTTGTCTCAGTCGTGAACGGGGTCTACGTGGAGACGCGGTGACTCATCCCGACCCAGACAAGTTCTAGCAAGCGAGGCGTATCCCAAGCAAGACGTCGTACCCCAAGCAAGACGTCGTATCACAAACAAGACGTCGTATCACAAACAAGACGTCGTATCCCAAGACATTTTTTTCTCGTCAAAACACGACGTGTACCAAATTCGACGTATTCCACAGCGGTCGTATACCGAGGTATGACTGTATAATCCTGTCATAGTGTGTAAACATCAGCAATGGGTTGACAAAGGTACAGTTCAGATCATACCATGAAATAATTTGCTGTGTTGGCCCTAATATGTGCTCTTTAAACAAAGACAAATAACCCTCATATAGCCTTAACAGGCTGTTGGGGCAAGTGCTGTTAGTGAGCACCTATGATAGCTGACACAGCACATAAGGGGGTGGGTGGCCAGCATCATGCCCGGCCGCCTTCGTCTCCCCAGTGGCGATGTTGACACACTGCACCAGGTACTCATTTAAAGCTGAGTCGACCTAGGGGAGGGCTAGGATTGGTTCAGATAATGATCGCTGGTGTTGGCTGTGAGCGAGAATCCAACTCGGGTCACTGACTTCGTAGCGCAGCGCGATAACCACCACGTCACCGCTCCCCACATTAAACACACACACGCACAAAAACAGACACACAGAACTCCATCGGACAATACAAGAGCCCATCGATATCGTGCTGGGCTGTTCGCGCGAGAACGCACTTAACGTTAATCTGAACACAAGGTGCGCTTATAACGCGAGGCATTTTATATGCCGCATACATTACCGCGTGACAGACAGGCGAGGGCAGGGGTTTAAACGCTGCCACATACTACCTACAGCATGCTCTCAGCGGCCAGATGATTTATGGATTTGCTTAGACGCGCAGGCAGGCACTAATGTGCCCGCACATCAAACGCAAAATCTGGCTGCCGTGTTTCCCAAGCGTGCCGCATTATTACCGGCCAGCGTTCGGCATTTTCCAATTCCGGGTGGAGTTTTGGAGACGGCGGAGAGACGTGCGGCAATCATGGGGGCGGCTCAGTGGCTCAAGGAGTTAATGCCAATTCCCATGCCAGGGTATTGAGCCCGCACTGCTGAGGACCTAGGTTCCATTCCCGGCTGCTGCTTCACCACTCAAGGTTAATTCCCATCTTTTGATGGTACAAACCTGGTCACTATTGGCTTATTGAACGTAAACAAATATGGTAAAAAAAAAAATTTGAATTTAAACTTTCTTTCGTGAAGCCCAGCTGTGAAGGAATGTTCTGTCAAAAGGTGCCAACTTAGGCTATCTGTCTGCATCGCACTATAACAGGGCCCTCGCCTTATGCTTTACACCTCGGCAGGGGGTAGGGGTAGTAACTCAGGCCATCATCGCTTGAGGGTTAATCGTGAACAATTGTTGCCCTATGGAGAGACCGGCCCCCGCCAAGGCAATGTTGAATTCCCACCACTGGCTTTGGGCCAACAATGGAGATAAGTGCAGTCCCACTACATACATGTTCACGCCTGGAATGACCCTTGACTTTTGAATGAAAAAGTGCAGCTATTTCTGGCATTTGTTCTTTCATCACAGTTGGTTGTGTGTATGTATGCTGAACTTCTTTCGCACCATACACAGCCAACCGGGCTAATTGGCGGTGCTGATCAACGGTCAAAAGGCCCAAAAATGCCAAGTGGCCAGCAACAAACAGCACTGTCGAATAGGTACGAGTTAAAAGTTTCTTGATTACAGCAAGGTTGTAAGAACTCGGCAAAAGGCACGAGAATTCCAAAGTGGAGCAATGCGAGCGAAGAAACTTGTCTTTCACCGCTGAAATATCCGAGGCGGGCCGCAGGCATGGGTCGAGTGGGCTGCACGGGTGGCTGCCTGCTCTTCTCCGTCTTAAAGTGCACCAGCCTCACCGTCGGGTCTGCACGGACGCAAACACAAACACAGGCACGCCGCTTTGAACTCCTTCAAGGCTGATGATGCAGCCCAAAAACACAACCAGCAATTCTCCTTGTCGGTATGGGCCAAATCTGTGCATTTTGAGCTTCACGACATGATTCGGAAGCTTCATCAATGAGAGCTGCTACACCATACATCACAACATCATTGCATTGAAGTATATATATAAATATTTTTGGTTCAGAACGATCATAGAAGGACAAAATCATCTGTAACCATTTCATATTCGTGCAGTGTTTAGAATAACACTCGACAAACCAATATTTTCATGAGTACTGAGATTTCAAAATATTATTTTGTCAAAAATTCACTTTTAAAATATGTGTTACATAGCCCAAGACACACAGCTAGGCTGTGTATTTTTTGGTTGGGGCCTTCCTTTAATCAGGCACATACACAAATGTGGAGTTTGAATGTGTGTGTGTATGTGCTTGTTTGTTTGACACAAGCAGGGTAATACTGGTTGGGGAGCACCCAACTTATAAGCAGAAGGCTCCAAAGGTTAAATTCTGGAGGTCAATTCCACCTATCTTCCTTCACCCTATGGGCTTCGTACAACTTTGTACCACTTTTTTAATTCAAAAGTGGTTTTCCTATGTATGGGAAAGTGGAATTTCCACCACTGGCTCAGCCTTGCCAATATAGGTGATGCTGTTCCATTGCTCCTTTGAGCAGGCAGCGCTTCGTGATTGTCTTCATTTTCAAATTAAATAGTTCTCCCAGGTATTATATATCTATATATATAAAAGGGACATTTGTGAATGTGTGTCTGTTCGAAATGTTTAGCATACTTCCCGACATGCAACAAACTTGAAATTTGGCACGTGGGTAGCTTCCAGACTGTACACAATGCAAAAAAGTATAAAAATAGACTTTTGTATTTTGGGGGGCGCGGGGGGGCTCATTAATGGATATATTTTGCACGGCAAGTGAGTGGTGACGTCACATCTGTGATGTCACTCGCATGCGGCAGCGTCACACAGTGTGCCTGCTGACGTCACGCACCCCCCCCCACCCTCCGCGTAGGCCGTGTATTAATCCAAGACATAAATCCAAGTCTTGGGCGAAGCCGGGTAGTAAAACTAGTAATGCATATATTCTTCTGCATTTTACAGTTGTGTCCGTTCAACAATGATTTTATTTCTCTAAGCAAACGTGTTGTACGTGATCTTTCTTTTGCTCACATGTATCTTTAGCTTTTGCAGGCTTTTTTTAAAATAACTTCCTGTAGTTCTTTTCCTGTGGTTGGTATACCATTCTTTGTCCAAATTTATTTTCATGCCATTCCTGGAAGACACTGGTGTGAATCATGAACCACACCAAAACATCAAAAGGCCGATGCGAACATCTCCTTTCATGAATGGACATTTTAAAGACAAGCCCCAGTGCGATTGTGACCATGCAAACCCAACCATGGACCATATGCTTTACCACTGGAGTCTTCTGCTTATTGAGGATTAGCATAACGACACGAACTCTCTCCTTGAAGAACTCTCGTGGCTAGTAGAACTCGACATTGGCATTTAGTTCCTGGAAATATTGCCATACGCAATAATAAGATTTCCCTTCATGAATCCAATCCTATATTCAGATAAGATGTTAATGCATAACCTTGGCGAGAGTATTTCCTGGCACTCGAATTGTGTATCTCAGTGTCGCTGTTCTATCATTATACATGATTCTGATGCTTTACTGATGATTTATTTAGGCTTTGTTTATGAAAGTGTGTAGGACTGCAATATTTCTGTCCTAAACTGGATGTAATTCTATTCTATACTATTTCATTCTTACACTCATTTGTCTTTACAAGAATATTTATTTATTCAGTGCAAGTGAATGTGATTAAAACAATCGCAGAAAGGGCCTCCACTAGGGTGTTTAGCCTGCTCTTCCACTTTCGCCATAAGTTTTGGAAGATAAGCACCCATACTTTACCCTACCACATGTGATTATTCAACTCAGAATACCTACCATAATCACCCAGGAATGTCCTTAACGCTCGTGACGTCACTCCACATCGAACATCCCCCCTCATTAATAATCATGAACAGGTTACATCCTCCACATGGACCCCCCCCCTCATTAATAATCATGAGCAGGTGACGTCACTCCACATGAAGCACCCTCCCCCCTCATTAATAATCATGAACAGGTGACGTCACTCCACATCGAACAGCCCCCCTCATTAATAATCATTATAAGGTGACATCCTCCAAATGGACACCCCCCCCCCACATTCATAATAATTAGCGGCTGACGTCACTCCACAGGGGGAGGGGCGAGGCGCCTCCTCCCCCCTCCTCGGCGTCAACTCACAACCCTCACTACAAAGGCAGAACCCTCACGTCACGTGATCTCCGTCACGCTATTGAGACATCGAAGTAAAAAGGACGTCGTGATGAACAAGGGATTATAATCTTAAAATGAAATAAGTCTGTGTCACCGCGCCCTTACAAATTGCACACGAATTGATGCAGTGAATATCACGTCCGCGGTCTGCTTTTCGCTTGCAAGTTTCAGATTTATTGCAATACACCCGTCCTTGGACAGGCAAAAGGCTAGTGATTATATAAACACGTTCAGGTAAAGGTCTTGACTCCCATAGTTAAAGTTGTTTCCTTTAAATCAAACTTTTACAGTTGTCATGATTTGCGGGATGATAGAAAAGTCTATGGTTTGACTCAATGATATGCCTGGATGTAACGTATTTTCTTCACATGGCCCCCTTTCATGTTAAATGCACTTAGTCCACTGATGGTCCAAGGATTTAATTCCTGTTCGTAAGAATCTCTTTTCTTGTAAAGTAGAAATATTTTACAAGTCAATCTTCATTTACTGAAGTCACTGGATTAATACTCCAAATTCATCCAAATTTATCCACAATAAAAAAATCGCCATTTTAAATTAACACCCAATTAAAATGAGTTCAAACAATCGTAAAAAAACCAGCTAACTATTGCTATGGAACTTGGCTATCCTTATAAAAAACAATATACTTTTTTTTAAATCGAGCATTCATCATTTGTTTTAGAAAATCCACTTCTACGTCAGGCGCTGTTCTCTGCGATTACCTCTTGTGACAACCACAGTGAACACGCAAAGCTAGTTTTGATGGCTACCATAAGAACCCCTTATCCCACAGAGACAGTGATGGGCCTTCAGCTGCCCTCCCTCTTCCAGGCTACCCTTTCACCTATGACATTATTTTATTTGCTTAACTGCCGCTCGCGCTAAAATGCTTTTCAGTCGGATCGTGGAAACGTTGTGAGTTTACGCGATCGCTTTCGGGAAGGTCAGGGGGAGCAATCCGACCCCGCCCCAGACGCGTTGTAGCCATCGCCCTCACGAGACACGTGGTGGAGAGTAACCAACAGACGTGCCGTAGTGGAACTCATGAACAGGGGATGGAATCATTATGATGCATGCCATCCACAATTCGGTGAATCGTCATGATTCAGGGTCCCGGTCCGATTCATGAATTGCCATATTCTCTGGAGTATAATACGCTCTGGAAAGTAAGATTCATCCCAAACTTATGCGGTGTCAATCGAATTTATCACACATACACACATCGGATTAAAAGACACACTCCAAACTTTTATTTTAAAATACTGGGAAAAAGGTGCATCATAATCCAGAGAAGATGCCAGTTCTTTTTTTATCACTGATGCATTTCGCATTACAATGCTATATAAAGTTACAGAATATAACAGTGGTTTGAATGTATGGGATCTATAGCGGTACAGTCATCTTTAAACATACACACGTACATTGGAAACAATCCATTCTAATACACATGGTTCCAAGTACGCAACGTGAGAGGTAACATTAATCGACGATTCATTCAGATCTCCAAAACAAATAAGCCAGTCAGAGCACTAGGCCAGCCAGCATCGCTCAGGCCTTGGTGATATTAAACTAAGCACTCATATGCAATATGCTTGCTGCTGTCAACTCAGTCACCAACGATTACTGCATGAAGTAACATCCATTGTGAGAAAGTTATTTTGAAATTATTCATAACAATACCCAGACTGGTGGTGCTGTTGTTATATCACAGGGCTAGGGAATTCAAATCTCGGTTGGGGGCCAAATCAGCCCTACATTACTCTCGGGTCAATACAATGGAGTACGACCAAAAGCCTATATTATTGATACTTTGTGGAGATTAAAAAGTCATCATTTTAGATGAATGTTCTCGAACCATAGGATGTGTAATTACCACCATAGAGATGAGCACTGTCCCATGCTTGTTTGAGAAGATAAATCCTCATTTTATTTTCCTAAAAAAAGGATGATGGGCTGGGTCGGCTCCTGACTCCTCAAGATTCTAATTGAAAACATTCAAATTGTGAGTCGAGTTGTGTGTCACAGCACTTACGGTCATAAAATGTAAATATCTTTAAAATACAAAAAAATAATTAGTTGGTTAACCATCATTCTCATCTCACTGCGCAATCAGAAACCATTCATGGGATAGACAGCTCACGGAGTGGGACCGTGTGATTGGTCAGTATATTCCTTGGGGGCGGCGGTGCCATGGCAACGATGAAATCGGTCCCAGGGAATAAGCAGAGTCTCGAGTACGGGGAGTTTGAGGTATAAAAGGGTTAACACAACACAACCTCTGCTACAATCACTCCCTGCCAAAGTGAAAATAACAACGTTGGCCTGCATGCATAGGCCACAAGACACATGCAAAATCAACGTTAAATGCTGCAGTGTGGGGGGGGGGGCGGGCGGAAGCGGGGGGCGCGGGGCTTCTTGTCAGTGGTATTCGGGATGTGTTCTGGGCAGCCCACTTCCCGTGTTGTGTTTTCAATTGTACGCATACATCGACCAGCATTTGTCCGCAGACACGCATCGTAATGGCCGTGGTATTCCACAAGCCCGAGGAGTTGACGTGTGGCGATGATTTAATGGAAGGGGCAGTCCAAAACACCGGTGAACAATGTTGTTGCT